ACTGTCGTTTTTTTTTCGGGCCGAATTTTTGAGTTTCGATATCTCAGCTCTGGAAGGGGCTAGAGCCTCCATTTTTGCACTCAGGTCTAAGTCTCATGGCCTCTATCAGAATCCAGAGTTTTGGGAAGATTGGAGAAACTTAATTTTTCGCCCAAAAAAAAAAACGTAAGGGGTACCACTGTCGTTTTTTTTTTGGGCCGAATTTTTGAGTTTCGATATCTCAGCTCTGGAAGGGGCTAGAGCCTCCATTTTTGCACTCAGGTCTAAGTCTCATGGCCCTCTATCAGAATCCAGAGTTTTGGGAAGATTGGAGAAACTTAATTTTTCGCCCAAAAAAAAACGTAAGGGGTACCACTGTCGTTTTTTTTTCGGGCCGAATTTTTGAGTTTCGATATCTCAGCTCTGGAAGGGGCTAGAGCCTCCATTTTTGCACTCAGGTCTAAGTCTCATGGCCTCTATCAGAATCCAGAGTTTTGGGAAGATTGGAGAAACTTAATTTTTCGCCCAAAAAAAAACGTAAGGGGTACCACTGTCGTTTTTTTTTTCGGGCCGAATTTTTGAGTTTCGATATCTCAGCTCTGGAAGGGGCTAGAGCCTCCATTTTTGCACTCAGGTCTAAGTCTCATGGCCCTCTATCAGAATCCAGAGTTTTGGGAAGATTGGAGAAACTTAATTTTTCGCCCAAAAAAAAAACGTAAGGGGTACCACTGTCGTTTTTTTTTCGGGCGAATTTTGAGTTTCGATATCTCAGCTCTGGAAGGGGCTAGAGCCTCCATTTTTGCACTCAGGTCTAAGTCTCATGGCCCTCTATCAGAATCCAGAGTTTTGGGAAGATTGGAGAAACTTAATTTTTCGCCCCAAAAAAAAAACGTAAGGGGTACCACTGTCGTTTTTTTTTTCGGGCCGAATTTTTGAGTTTCGATATCTCAGCTCTGGAAGGGGCTAGAGCCTCTTTTTGCACTCAGGTCTAAGTCTCATGGCCTCTATCAGAATCCAGAGTTTTGGGAAGATTGGAGAAACTTAATTTTTCGCCCAAAAAAAAAAACGTAAGGGGTACCACTGTCGTTTTTTTTTCGGGCCGAATTTTTGAGTTTCGATATCTCAGCTCTGGAAGGGGCTAGAGCCTCCATTTTTGCACTCAGGTCTAAGTCTCATGGCCCTCTATCAGAATCCAGAGTTTTGGAAGATTGGAGAAACTTAATTTTTCGCCCAAAAAAAAACGTAAGGGGTACCACTGTCGTTTTTTTTTCGGGCCGAATTTTTGAGTTTCGATATCTCAGCTCTGGAAGGGGCTAGAGCCTCCATTTTTGCACTCAGGTCTAAGTCTCATGGCCCTCTATCAGAATCCAGAGTTTTGGGAAGATTGGAGAAACTTAATTTTTCGCCCAAAAAAAAAGTAAGGGGTACCACTGTCGTTTTTTTTTCGGCCGAATTTTTGAGTTTCGATATCTCAGCTCTGGAAGGGGCTAGAGCCTCCATTTTTGCACTCAGGTCTAAGTCTCATGGCCCTCTATCAGAATCCAGAGTTTTGGGAAGATTGGAGAAACTTAATTTTTCGCCCAAAAAAAAAACGTAAGGGGTACCACTGTCGTTTTTTTTTCGGGCCGAATTTTTGAGTTTCGATATCTCAGCTCTGGAAGGGGCTAGAGCCTCCATTTTTGCACTCAGGTCTAAGTCTCATGGCCCTCTATCAGAATCCAGAGTTTTGGGAAGATTGGAGAAACTTAATTTTTCGCCCAAAAAAAAAAAACGTAAGGGGTACCACTGTCGTTTTTTTTCGGGCCGAATTTTTGAGTTTCGATATCTCAGCTCTGGAAGGGGCTAGAGCCTCCATTTTTGCACTCAGGTCTAAGTCTCATGGCCCTCTATCAGAATCCAGAGTTTTGGGAAGATTGGAGAAACTTAATTTTTCGCCCAAAAAAAAAAACGTAAGGGGTACCACTGTCGTTTTTTTTTCGGGCCGAATTTTTGAGTTTCGATATCTCAGCTCTGGAAGGGGCTAGAGCCTCCATTTTTGCACTCAGGTCTAAGTCTCATGGCCCTCTATCAGAATCCAGAGTTTTGGGAAGATTGGAGAAACTTAATTTTTCGCCCAAAAAAAAAAACGTAAGGGGTACCACTGTCGTTTTTTTTTCGGGCCGAATTTTTGAGTTTCGATATCTCAGCTCTGGAAGGGGCTAGAGCCTCCATTTTTGCACTCAGGTCTAAGTCTCATGGCCCTCTATCAGAATCCAGAGTTTTGGGAAGATTGGAGAAACTTAATTTTTCGCCGAAAAAAAAAAAAAACGTAAGGGGTACCACTGTCGTTTTTTTTTTCGGGCCGAATTTTTGAGTTTCGATATCTCAGCTCTGGAAGGGGCTAGAGCCTCCATTTTTGCACTCAGGTCTAAGTCTCATGGCCCTCTATCAGAATCCAGAGTTTTGGGAAGATTGGAGAAACTTAATTTTTCGCCCAAAAAAAAAAAACGTAAGGGGTACCACTGTCGTTTTTTTTTTCGGGCCGAATTTTTGAGTTTCGATATCTCAGCTCTGGAAGGGGCTAGAGCCTCCATTTTTGCACTCAGGTCTAAGTCTCATGGCCCTCTATCAGAATCCAGAGTTTTGGGAAGATTGGAGAAACTTAATTTTTCGCCCAAAAAAAAAAACGTAAGGGGTACCACTGTCGTTTTTTTTTCGGGCCGAATTTTTGAGTTTCGATATCTCAGCTCTGGAAGGGGCTAGAGCCTCCATTTTTGCACTCAGGTCTAAGTCTCATGGCCCTCTATCAGAATCCAGAGTTTTGGGAAGATTGGAGAAACTTAATTTTTCGCCCAAAAAAAAAAACGTAAGGGGTACCACTGTCGTTTTTTTTTCGGGCCGAATTTTTGAGTTTCGATATCTCAGCTCTGGAAGGGGCTAGAGCCTCCATTTTTGCACTCAGGTCTAAGTCTCATGGCCCTCTATCAGAATCCAGAGTTTTGGGAAGATTGGAGAAACTTAATTTTTCGCCCAAAAAAAAAAACGTAAGGGGTACCACTGTCGTTTTTTTTTCGGGCCGAATTTTTGAGTTTCGATATCTCAGCTCTGGAAGGGGCTAGAGCCTCCATTTTTGCACTCAGGTCTAAGTCTCATGGCCCTCTATCAGAATCCAGAGTTTTGGGAAGATTGGAGAAACTTAATTTTTCGCCCAAAAAAAAACGTAAGGGGTACCACTGTCGTTTTTTT